ATGACGGGAACCCATCTCTGACCACGCCTCTTGTGACGCTGAGGGATTTGATTGGTTCCAAACAAGTCTGCTCTTAATATTAGTTATGTCATTAGGCGACATTTTTCTTATCATGACTCATCTGACTTATTCTCAGCCAAAATTAATATTTCATTCCCATGACTCAATATGCTTCGTATTGAAATTGGAAAAATGTTACAATGAAAGAAACGAAATATATATTTATAAACATATTACATACTATTCCATAAAGGTCATTAGTCAAGAGGCGTGATGCTCTTCTTCACTAAAGTCAAGCAGCATGCAGGCGAAAACACTGACTTCAGACGCTTGTTATCATTAAAGAAAAACATACATCTGGTTTCCATAAAAAGATGAACATCGACATGTTGCAAAGCATACCATGGAGAAAATGGTACCTTAAAAAATATATTATTAATCTTTGGTTGTGGTAGTGACTTTTACGAGTATATAATCGAACAGAACGTTTCGATGTGTACACACACACACATATATACATATGCACGCACACATGGATATATATATATATATATATATATATATATATATATATATATATATTATATATTATATATATATATACGGGTGCATAATGCATATGCACACACACGTGTGTCTGTGTGTGTGTGTGCATGGATATTATATCATATTATATACATACATATATATATATAAATATATATATGCGTAAATATGTGTATATACAAATGTATAGCATACATATTCATTGATCTCTTCCTCCCCCCTCTCTCTATCTATCTCTCTCTCTTATGGCATACGGAAAGGGACAGAAAGAAAAACAGAAAAGATAGATAATCAATAAATACATGAAAAACATACGTAAACATATGTATAATCATATGCATACATATATTCATATGTATGTGTATACCTATCTATCCATATATCTATCGATCTACTGAGACACACACACATATACATGCATAAATAGATATAAGTATAGATATATATTTATATCATATGACCATGTGTATATATGTACATAAATATACACCCACACGCTCGCACACACACATATATATCATATATGTGTGTTTGTATATATATATATATATATATATATATATATATATATATATATATATATATATATGTATATGCATGGTATATACATGTGTATATATATGTATATATATGTATACATGTATATATATGTATATATATTTATATGTGTATATGTATTTGTTCACACAAACATACAGGCACATATATGTATGTATACATATATAAATGTGTATGTTCATACAGATATACTCATACATGTATGAATATATATATGAATAGATTAATGGACAAATATACATATTAGTATGCATATATAATACTTGTATAAAGATATTCGCACACACACACATATATGCACATATCCATTTGTATGCACACACATATGTGTGTGTACATAAATATATATTTACAAGTATACATATATATGTGTGTATATATATGTACATGTATGTATATATGTATACACACATGTGTGTGTGCAGTCGTGGTGTATCATTACGTGAAGTCTAACTGCGACCTCATTAACCCTTAATCTGTGACGTAACTATATTTTTTTCACAACAAAGCTGATTAAATATTACTTCTGAGCAATTAAGTGGCTGCAGCGGGAAGGTCAGATGGCCTAATGAGGTCAGTCTCTCTTCCGGCTCCTTCGGCAGTGGCTCAGGCTGGGTCAGCGAAGGGGCGGGACTTTTGCCAAAGGGACGTCGAGTCTTTCCATCCCTTACACTGCTCGGGAATCACGCGACACTTGAGGGGATTATAGGACGTTGGAGGACAATGCTCTTGTGGATGTAAACACACAGGAAAACAAATGGATAATTTAAATACTCAAGAAATATTATATTCATAAGGATTATACGACTTGAATGAATTTTTATGTACTTTATATACATATCAATCTCTAGATATGCATATACTATATATACATATGCATATTTATATATCTATTTATATATTCATACGATATATATGAATATATATATATATATATATATATATATATATATATATATATATATATATATATGTGTGTGTGTGTGTGTGTGTGTGTGGTGTGTGTGTGTGTGTGTGTGTGTGGTGTGTACACACATAAATATATATGTATACTTATGTTTGTGCGTATATAAACGTGGATTATTTTGTGTCTCTTACAGTGTCAGTGATTCTTTTAATATTTTAATGTAGTATGAAGGTTTGAATCTGAAACACATAATATTTATCGTCAACGAAGGTGATTAAATAATATTTCTGTGCGATTAAGTGCCTTCTGGGATGGTCAGGTGGGCCATTACATCTGCATATATTCCGGAGCTTCTATCTGAATGCATGCCCTAAAGGTCACTCGGGTCAAGGGGCGGGACTTTCTCTTGCAAACGTCAAAAAGCTTGCCGATCCTTACGCCCAGCTCATGGAATGACGCAAGCCACTTGGGTAATTAGGGGACAACGAAGGACAATGCAGCCGTTGCTCTGCATACAAAGAAAACAAAGGGATAATGTAAATATAAAACCTATTTGATATATATAACCCTTTCTTGTTTACAAGTATCAATATTTGATGCACACACACACACATGCAAGTATGTATTTATATCAATATATCTATGTATATATGTGTATGTATGTGTGTATATAAGTATAATTGTATATATTAATATCCATAAATACATACACACATTAACATTTGTTTGTATGTCACAAGACGCGATAGAAAATAAACTTTCTTTTCTTAGAAAGTGTATTATCGTGAGCAACAAAACCACGGCCAGTTATTCCTGTTTGTATTCCTGAGCTTTTAGGAGCGTCTCATAACAGACATTTACGAACCTTTTTCCTGCAAAAGAAGGGGCGGGACTTTTGCCAAAGAGACGTCGAGTCTTTCCATCCCTTACACTGCTCGGGAATCACGCGACACTTGAGGGGATTATAAGACGTGGGAGGACAATGCTCTTGCGGACATAAACACAAAGAAAAACAAATTAACAATGCAAATACTAAAGGAAAGTTATGCCCCTAAGGATTATATGAACTGAATCATTTTTTTCTGTGCATTATGTACATATCTATCTATCTATATATATATATTTTATCTATATATTAAATATATATAACTAATTTATTTATCAATATCATACTATATATATATACACACATGTTTGTCTGTATATAAACATATCGTATTATTTCATGTCTCTTACAATGTCACGTGGCGATTATTGTTTCCATATTTTAATGTAGTATCAGGTTTTAACCTCGAAGACAATATCTGTCAATAAGGGTGATTAAATATTACTTCTGTGCGATTAAGTGACTGTTCTGGGATGGTCAGGTGGGCCATTACATCTGCATATATTCCGGAGCTTTTATTTGAATGCCCTAAAGGTCATTCGGGTCAAGGGGCGGGACTTGTTCTTGCAAACGTCAAAAAACTTGCCGATCCTTACGCCCAGCTCATGGAATGACGCAAGCCACTGGGGTAATTAGGGGACAATGAAGGACAATGCAGCCGTTGCTCTGCATACAAAGAAAAACAAATGGCTAATGTAAATATAAAGCAAATTAGGTCTCTGCATCCTGGTTCGTCTCATTCCAGACCTCAACATATTCTCATAATGTTTGGTTAGTTTATAATTTTATATATATATATATATATATATATATATATATATATATATATATATATATATATATATATATATATATATATATATATATATATATATATATATAATACCAGTTATTATCAATAAAGTATATCCGTTATATATTAGGGGTATTTGTGTAGACAAGATATTTTCGTGACTTCATTTAAAGCACTAAAAATAGGTCTTGTAAAGAGAGTATTTGTTGATTGAAGCTTCAAAAAGGCTTGAGTCACTGGGAATGAAAAAGGAATCTCTCAAAATATATGATTGTTGCTAATATGAAAATATATGTTATGGTAATAAGATTTCTCTTGATGGGTAAAACATACTTATTATTTGAATCTCTGTACACTATTTACAATTCCATCTGATGCTTTAATCTCAGTACGATCCAGAACTGTACGAGCTACAGTTGCTGCCATCACTGTTGTAGCCACTGCTGTAGTCTGCACTGTAGCCACTGTAGGGACTGCTGGCACTGACGAAATTACTGGAAGCAGAGTTGATGGAGTAGCTTCCGTGGGGGAAAGTGCTTCCGAGTTGAGGTTGATGAACATTGTCGTTGTGGCTGGAGTAGAAACCTTGGTCGGCGAGGGAGTACTGGTCGGGTTGAAGGCCATAACCGCCATATTGTGGTTGCTGGTTGAAGGAGTCGCTGAAAGCGACGGCGTCCATAGGACTCCCTGGACGACTGTCGGAGTCCGAGTCGGACTGAAGGGTGTCCTGAAGGTCGCTGATGTAGTCGATGACGTGCTCGATGAGCTCCTGTCTGGACACCTTGCGGTTCTTGGGACACTGAGGCACCATGGCCTTGAGTGTGTCGAGGTAGAGGCGCATCTGTGCCTTGTCGGAGGCCATGTTGGAGTTGGCGGCGAGTGCCTGTGCCATGGCGGCGGCCATTGTTCTGTCATAAACGGTGTTCATTTTCTGTTCAGTGAGTTGCGAGACCGAAATGAGTTCTGGGGAAGGTAGGTCAAGTGGTTATGATCCTTGGTTACCTGAGCAAGGTTATATAGGCCAAGGGAACCCATCTCTGACCACGCCTCTTGTGACGCCGAGAGATTTGATTGGTCCCTAACAAGACTGCTGTTAATATTAGTTATCATGGCATTAGTTGATATTTCTCTTATCATGACTCATCTGACTTATTCTCAGCCAAAATTAATATTTCATTCCCATGACTCATATGCTTCGTATTGAAATTGGAAAAATGTTACAATGAAAAAATAAATATATATTTATATACATATTACATACTATTCCATAAAGGTCATTAGTCAAGAGGCGTGATGCTCTTCTTCACTAAAGTCAAGCAGCATGAACGCGAAAACACTGACTTCAGACGCTTGTTATCATTAAAGAAAAGCATACATTTGGTTTCCATAAGACAAGTATCGAAATGTAAAGCATACCACAGAGAAAATGTTATCTTAAAAAAATAGATTTCGAAGATTTCTAATCTTTAGTTTTGGTAGTGACTTTTACGAGTATATAATCGAAGAGAACGTTTCGATGTGCACACACATATATACATATGCACGCACACATGGATATATATATATATATGGGTGCATACATGCATTCATGGACACACACACACACGTGTGTCTCTGTGTGTGTGTGTGCATGTAGCTATGTATATATACTCACACACACACACACACACACACACACACACACACACACACACACACACACACACACACACACACATATATATATATATATATATATATATAATATATATTTTATACATATATATTATATATGCATATACATACAAATATATATAATAATATATATATATATATATATATATATACAATATATAACATACTACATACATATATATACATATGTATTATATATATGCATAAATATATATATACAAATATAGAACATACATATAACATCCATCTCTATGTTTATCATCTGAAATATATGAAAATATATAGTATATACACATGGTAGAGTATGATAAGTGCAAAGAATAAATATGGATGTATTAGACATAATTAATAAATACATGAGATAAACGTAAAAACATATTATAATGCATAATACATAAATTATGATATAATATGCTATCTATGTGTTACATATACTATCGATTCTACTGAGACACACACACATATACATATAATATATTATGCTATTATATATATAATGGTGTAATATATTATAATAATATTATAGATATGTATATCATGTTATAACATGTGTATAGTGTATATGTATGTATATTACTATATGTATTTATATATGTATATATTATCTTATATGTGTATATATATACATATAAATATGTATATATATATATTATGATATATATATTAAATCTGTTTATGTAAACGCACATATGAGAAGCGACTGTTATGCATGATATTAGCATGTGTGATATATGGTATATACACACATATGTATATGTATTTGTTCACACAAACATACACGCACATATATGTATGTATACATATATAAATGGGTGTGCATTTTCATACAGATACACTCATACATATATGAATAGATTAATGGACAAATATACACATATTAGTATGCATATATACATACTTGTATAAAGATATTCGCACACACATATATATATACACATATCCATTTGTACGCACACACATATGTGTGTACATAAATATATATATAATATATATGTATGTATATATATGTTTATATGTATACACACACATATGTGTGTGTAGTCGTGGTGTATCATTATGGGAAACATAACTGAGACCTCATTAACCCTTAATCTGTGATGTAACTATATTTTTTCACAACAAAGCTGATTAAATATTACTTCTGAGCAATTAAGTGGCTGCAGCGGGAAGGTCAGATGGCCTAATGAGGTCAGTCTCTCTTCCGGCTCCTTCGGCAGTGGCTCAGGCTGGGTCGGCGAAGGGACGGGACTTTTGCCAAAGGGACGTCGAGTCTTTCCATCCCTTACACTGCTCGGGAATCACGCGACACTTGAGGGGATTATAGGACGTGGGAGGATAATGCTCTTGTGGATGTAAACACAAAGGAAAACAAATGAATAATGCAAATAATCAAGAAAACCCATGCTCATAAGGATTATACGACTTCATTTTTATGTACTTTATATACATATCTATCTATAGATATACATATACTATATATACATATACATATACATATACTATATATATATACATATATCTATCTATTTATGTATTCATACAGTATATATGAATTTATATACATATGTATATATTCATAACATAAATATATATATTATGTTGCGCGTATATAAACATGTCGATTTATTTCGTCTCCTACAGTGTCAGTGATTGTTTTGATATTTTAATGTAGTATCAGGTTTTAACCTCCAAGAGATAATATTTATTGTCAACAGGTGATTAATATTACTTCTGTGCGATTAAGTGACTGTTCTGGGCGGTCAGGTGGGCCATTACATCTACATATATTCCGGAGTTTTTATTTGAATGCCCTAAAGGTCACTCGGGTCAAGGGGCGGGACTTTCTCTTGCAAACGTCAAAAAACTTGCCGATCCTTACGCCCAGCTCATGGAATGACGCAAGCCACTGGGGTAATTAGGGGACAATGAAGGACAATGCAGCCGTTGCTCTGCATACAAAGAAAAACAAATGGCTAATGTAAATATGAAGCCTATTTGGTTTTATATTTTTTCTTGTTTATAAGTATCAACATTTGACGCACACACACACACACACACGAGTATGTATTCATGGATGTTAATATATCATATAATTATATGTATATATATAATATTTACACACACACACACACACACACACACACACACAACACATATATATATAATATATATATATATATATATATATATATATATATATATGTAATGATATCCATAAATGCATGCACATTTACCGAAGTGTGTATGTCACAAGACCATAAAAAATAGACTTCCTTTCCTCAGAAAGTGTAGTATCGTGTGCATCAAAACTACGGTCAGTTGTATTCCTGAGCTTTAATAGCGTCTCATAACAGACATGAACGAAGTTTTTTCCTACAAAAGAAAGAAAAAAAACCTCATGGAATAATTAAAAACAACGCGGGTGATGCTCTCTTTGTTCTGAAAATAAATGTAAACAAATGTTAAATGCAGATATGATGGTCTTTGGGTGTGATCACTCATGAAACAATATCTGTTTTGAGATATAATGGTCTTTGCATCCTGGTTCGTCTCATTCGAGACCTCAACATATTCTCATAATGTTTGGTTAGTTTATAATTTACTATACATATACATATTATACCAGTTATCAATAAAGTATATCCGTTATATTTTAGGGGTATTTGCGTAGACAAGATCTTTTTTGTGACTTCATTTAAAGTACTAAAAATAGGTCTTGTAAAGAGAGTATTTGTTGATTGAAGCTTCAAAATGGCTCGAGTCACTGGGAATGAAAAAGGAATCTCTCAAAATGATATATGATTGTTGCTAATATGAAAATTGATGTTATGGTAATAAGATTTCTCTTGATGGGTAAAACATACTTATTATTTGAATCTCTGTACACTATTTACAATTCCATCTGTTTTAATCTCAGTACGATCCAGAACTGTACGAGCTACAGTTGCTGCCATCACTGCTGTAGCCACTGCTGTAGTCTGCACTGTAGCCACTGTAGGAACTGCTGGCACTGACGAAATTACTGGAAGCAGAGTTGATGGAGTAGCATCCATGGGGGAAAGTGCTTCCGAGTTGAGGTTGATGAAGAACTTTGTCGTTGTGGCTGGAGTAGAAACCTTGGTTGGCGAGGGAGTACTGGTCGGGTTGAAGGCCATAACCGCCATATTGTGGTTGCTGGTTGAAGGAGTCGCTGAAGGCGACGGCGTCCATAGGACTCCCTGGACGACTGTCGGAGTCCGAGTCGGACTGAAGGGTGTCCTGAAGGTCGCTGATGTAGTCGATGACGTGCTCGATGAGCTCCTGTCTGGACACCTTGCGGTTCTTGGGACACTGAGGCACCATGGCCTTGAGTGTGTCGAGGTAGAGGCGCATCTGTGCCTTGTCGGAGGCCATGTTGGAGTTGGCGGCGAGTGCCTGTGCCATGGCGGCGGCCATTGTTCTGTCATAAACGGTGTTCATTTTTTTTTCGTTCACGGAATGCAGACTGAGTGTTGTAGTGATGACAGAGACAGGTCAGTTTTTATATTGTCTTTTACCTGAATGGGATTATATAAGCCAAGGGTCAAGAAAACTTGTCCTTGATCACGCCCTTGTGGCGCAGAGTTCCCAATGGTTCCATACTTAGTTATTGCCATTATAAAATTTCTTAGGATTTTTTTTTTATTTCCAGATATCCTAAGATTTTGTGTTGAATGATGTCAAACATACATGTTTAAGTTTAAGTAGTACAGAATATTTGAATTTGTGTAATCCAGTCGTGAGAATATGTAAGCTAACTCCAAAGTCACCTGTTAGGCCTACTACGGACATCAAACTAAACAGAATACTTGTTCACTTTTATGCACACACATATATGTACATACATAGATATATAGATATATGTGATATCTATATATTTTGTCACAATGAGTGTCACGCATAATATAAAAAGGTTAATAAATGAATAAATAAAAGTGCTAATAATGATAAATGATAATCTTACATTACAGATTATCTATGTGCGTAATTCATCAGCCCTTAACCTATAGTACGTAATGATGCTTATTATCACTTTATACTGGGATAATCAGACGGCTCATCACGTAGGTATGTGTTCCAATGCTTTCATCAATAAACCAAAACAGTCATTCAGGTTAAAGGGCGGGACTTTTTCGTATAAAAGTAAGAAAAAAACCCTGCCGATTCCTACGCAGAGCCTATGAATTGACGCAAGACACTGGGGGTAATTAAGAGAGAAAGGAAGACATGTATCATATTTAGCACAAAAAATTACTAATT